AAGAACGCTATCGTACTTACACTACTGTCATGCCAATTTTTACATAATCCGGAAGAGATTCTATGTTACTGAACAAGGGTTCACAGCAATTGGCTGCTTTCCACCTGCTTGTTGCCATTCCTAGCTTTTGCCGTTCCATCCTACATTCTGGCTAGATTCAGATGTACGGTTGCAGCAACTAATAAGAAAGGAAAGATAGAAAAGTAACAATAATAACTGGTGAAGGGGTCAGTTTGAAGCACGCATTGAGAATCAACTGCTATGCGCAATCTCAATGTGGACCGCGATTCGCATTGAAGTGAATCTTTATCACTGGGGTCTTTACTGATGTAACAGATGGATATTGGCTGTTTCCTGCCCGAAGACGCTGCACTCCACGACACGTTTCAACATTGTTTACTCTCATCAGGTAGAGATAGCAGGCCTCGAACCCGGGACCATTGGGATGTTACTTGAAATCTCTACCACTTTAGCCATCAGGTCACGACGGTTAATGACCGGTTGGATGGTCATTTTAGGGCACTCGTTGTGCGAATCGATTCCGATGCGCAATGTCAATGTGAAACGTGATTCGAATTACAGCGAACCTCACCCAATTCGGTCGCTTCATCGCAAGGTAACTTGAAGTTAGCAGTACCTCCATTTTTCCAGTTTTGCCCCGGTCGCATACAAACGTGGCCCAGTGAAAACGCTCTTCTACAGAGCCAGACGGATATGCAGCCCCGAAATGTTGAAAGCTGAGGAAGGATTTCTGTACAGATCCGAGGATGTTCTGCTTATGCCATTTTTACCCGTCCGTGGCTGAAAGGAAAAAGCGTCTGCCTTGCAACTCGGAAGGTCATGTGTTCAAGTCTGCGTAGGGGACAGGGCGATCCTCGCAGTATCCTTAGGTCATCCGCGACTGGTGGTGGCTGCATGGCAGCAAAGTGTCCACACAACGTACTTGCGCCTTTTCTATGCCATTTGTATCTCCGCCACAGTCGCATTATTTTACACACCTTTATGCACTTACCTTCCTCACGTGCACAGTTTACTTCACCTTTCATCCCGTTCGGCATCGGTTACAATTATCCGCCAACCCCTTCTTACATACCAGTGGATCTGAGACCCATTTGCTGCATGTTTCGGAGAGATTCATCACGTCAACGTTCACCAAGTACTCGTTTTACTCGTGTGATCGACAATCTCTTCTCACTCATCGTATAGACCCGCCGTGAATTATGGTGCTGTCATTTTATGCGGTTTCTAGAGCCGTTGTAACAAACTCAACAGACGGCTTCCTTTAGATCCTCACCCTGACTCTGGAGTCGCGATAGAGGGATTCCATAAATGACATGAATTATACCAACACATTCTTTCACCATTTCCGACATCGGACACTCCTGGTTAACTGTGGGCCCCTCGTTTGTCCATATGATTGTGCTATGTGATCCGTATGTTTGGTGCGGTTCCATCACCTGACAAAGTGTAACTATTTGCCCGGTGCACCCCTTTAACACACAATGACTAACATAGGGGATGATGGTGACGGAAGATAGCGTGTCTGTAACTGTTCCCACTTTCCGGAGGTCCATTGAGCCGACTCACTATCGTCCATGTGCGGACCTTGAAAGCTATTGCAATAAATCCGTAAACCGGATGCTTTTCATGTGGTATCTTGGCATTCCCTAAGGATGGCTACGACAGTAGACGACCCCCAATATGAATGCATTGCACTGCCCCATATGGCATTGAGTAAACTGGTCATATAATCAATTGGTTTGTTTGTTACTGTCTTTCAATCACAATGGAGGCCAACCAATTAGTCCAGGCGCCTTGGTTCACTTTAATGGTACATCACATGGAATCCCGTTAAATGAAGAAGTTACGGCGTCACTAATGACTGCAAATAATTCCAGGAAGATGTAGACGAATGACTTCCCTCTGAAATGATGTGCCACGCTTTCAAGCCTCACTATGTCTAACAGTGAGTCATGTATCCGTTTGCGCAACAATTGTTCCACTAGCTGGTGCTTTTCTGGAGACTAAATCGAATGAGACGAAGTTTAGGAGTAAACTAGTGCTGCCTTTCATTTCGTAGGCCCTCGCTGCTTTCAAGGTTACCGAACAATGCTGACTTTTGTGGGCAGGCGCCGTTTTGGAGTATTACGGATCTTCTAAAACGGATTATTCCGCGTAACCCCATTATTATGTTGCATCAACTCTGCCTCCTTTTGGCCGCATTTTCTTCGACTGCTTTCTCCATTCACTGAGACCTGCCAACAGTTGGTGCAGGGGGAAATTATCCCAAACTAAATCGCCTTCACCACATTGCTGATCAGCGAATTGGATTGTCATTGCACTCATCACCATATTCTAGGCGACCTCTGCCACCGTTCGATGTGAAGCTTCTCACGAACCTTGCGATCGTGTGTTTCACAGTGACGCATCTTTCCTTCAGTCGATGATTTTGTACCGTTCATAGGCAGTCTGTTGATGTGTTTAAGTCTCTCCATACAACATCTCGCCTACATCTAGCTTATCGAAACTCGAACACTAATCCTATCGGTTCCTACTGATATTCGCGTCTTCTGTGATTTAAGATCGTTATGCTTTGACGCACCTATCACACTTTATCATTGCACTTCCGCACACCAACATGGCTCTCCAATAAAACCTCATTACACTTCAAAAATTAACCACAGTTTGCATCTGCTAGGCACCTAATTAAGCAACTATTGGGTTGCTGAGTCGGAAACAACTGATCTGGGTCCTTTGCCCAACCGCCTGTCACATTTCTGCTCTCCCTTGCGCGTTTATCATCAGCCGTGTACCGTGTACATTTTTCCACTTGGGTTTTTTTGGTACTCGTGAAATTGATCTGCACGCTGTCCACGTTTGATGGCTTCCACATTCTGTTTTCCATGTTCACCGCTTCCGGTCTATCTGTTCTAAGCTCTCGGCAGCTTTTGTCAATACTCTAGTCTAGGCGTCGCCTGCATTTCTATCACGTGTTCTCCTTTGTGGTTATGGTTTTTGTGAGATTGTTCACTAGTACACACTCAGTCGCTTCAATTTTCCTCTATCTTTAGGCCACTAATCTTACTCCAGGTGATACGGCTTTGTGTTTCTACCATTCTACTTCCCGTGTTTCTATTAGTGCGCCCACACCTTGAACGCATTCGCATCGATCACAGTGCTTTAACCTGCAGAGGTAAAATGCTATTGTTTCACCTGTGGTGTTCGGCAGTGCTTTCGATGAAATTCGCAACGGACCCTACTATACACCCCTTCCTTGTTTAATGCGTTGGATTTACTACACAATTACCACTCGCAGGCGCCCGCGTGCACCCACTTGACGCAAATCGGCTCCCACCATTCACATAAAAGTGTCGATATTTCCATTATCACGTGGACAGATGAAATAACCACACCTTTTTAGCATTGACCATAGTTCACTAGCCTCGTGGACATTAGTTCACTTTGCTATTGTCATTGTTGATGACTATCAACTTCGATCGCTCCACACTATCACGGCAATGTTTACTATTTCTCACATCAAAAGAAATGTGGTTGTGGGGTAGCACCCCCGACCAAGTGACTAAACGTCGTGTTCAAACTGTTTTGTAACTTCCCCTTGTCATTTCTCATCGTATCTTATGCAGTCATCAATAACTATCTTTGTCCGTCTCTCCAATCAACCAGGGTCTGTTGTGAAATGATTCTTCTCTTTCGGTTCCCATTCAGCCATCATAGAGAACATCATCAGTTTTGCATAGCACATTACTAACAGGTGCGTGTCGTATCGCTTACACCAAACCTTGTCTTCCTCGACACGCTAGTCTATTCTCCTCTGAATTCGATCAGTTTATCCACGTTGAGATTATGCCAATTTTATCGCGTACCGACCCTCGCATTTTGTACTTGGACTGCTTCGTGATCACTTATATCAACTTAGTCACCTCGGCCTTTAACCGTACCCTGTATTTTTGTGGTTGCTGGTTCGACCCCAACAGGAGCCAGATGGAATGCGTACTGTTGATGATTCACTGAAGTGTGGAACGGCGGTACGGTACCTTTTCAGACGTGTGATCTCTGTCTGACTAAGTTCAGATGTGGTGAATTTCCACTCATATCTATACATACCGTCAAACCGACGCTTGCCCCACGCCTAGTGTCGATTGGGGCTCCTAACCTCTCACATGCGTTTGTGTATGCACCTGGCGGATCAGCGCATTGGAACTGCACTGATTTCGACGCGTGCCCACCTAAACTCCCTTCGGTAAAATTTGGAGCATCCTTGAAACTGCGCAATAGTAGTCAGCAAGAAATGTTGCGTGGCATTTTTTTGTACTCGCGGCCCCAAGCCAGTTTCGTGGACATACTTCGTTCTTCTTATTCAGTTTCACATCAGATGTTACCATGAAAACGTTCTGGAGAATCGCGAGCTTGCTGGCATCGATCCACTTCCGGCTGACAGCTTTTGTACCTTTGAATACGCAGCGGACACCGGTACAATTTATATTTCTCGCGGTCCACTCACAACAAACACAAAGTCTAGAGATGTTCATCTCCCGATTCGGTATGCACTTCAGCTTTCATAAGACTGTTGTGCGCGACAGATCCTAAAATCCTCTTGCTCACCACATCCCTTTGGGGGGAGTGGGCGTCGATTTGATTCATGATAACCTACTGTCCACATGGATGTCGTGTGTCACCATGCATTCTTGTCCTACCGAAATCGCAAAAATTTGTACCGTGTTCAACGTATAGCCTGGATGTACCGTTACCCAGTTGGTAGAGGTTGGCAATTTGAATCCAACTGGGGCATTTCTACACGAATGCTCAGATGTTCCACGATGTGTAACCAATGAAGTGCGATTAACCATATTCTTATTGTTTACATGCGCCATCGAGAATCCACAGTTGATGCATTTTACCTGCAAATCTATAGCACAACTGTTTCATTCTGTACACTCGATTGTCAAATTTCATTTGTACTTTCGTTCCACCTGTTCCAGCACCTAGCATCCGTCTTATCAGAACTCAAACAGTGCCAAGCAAATATTGGAACGCTCCAAGCTCAGTTAGACTCGTGGGAGGCCGATAGAACGGATTTCGCGCGCTCTCGGTTCCGGCTTGGTGAGTTCCCTTTCATATCTATCTTGCTTTTCTTGCTCTCCGTCTTTCCATTTACATATATATATATATATATATATATATATATATATATATATATATATATATATATATATATGTGTTTGGCGGCATCCGGTTTCGGATTTGCCTGTCACTGTGGCCAATCACAGGACGCCTGCGCCTACAGAGGGACCATGGGTGGCTTGCGCTACACCACCCACAGCTCCAACCACACACCCCATGTCCAGAGTAAACCTGAAGGAATAAAACCAGGAGGCATGTGGATCGGGGGCCACGTTTCATCAACGGAGCCGGCCCACACTCCTTCACGGGCAAACACAAGCACGCTGTATTTGGGGAATCAATCGCACACAAGGCGGTGGCTGGACCGTAGTCCGCTACACACTGAGTGCCTGGAACCACTCTCCGGTCCTAACACGACCACAAGGACCGTGCACCCCGTCCATCTAGCAACGACCAACTGTCTCCTAGAGTCCGTATGGACGAGATAGTGGGTAATAGACAGTTAGGCACCTTGTCAACATGCACATAAAGTGCAGCCACATCGGAGATATCAAGCAACAGCCAATCACTTGAGTGAAAGATAACAAATAAAATAAATCGAGTAATGCATAAGTAAACGGTGACATTAATCTTAAATTAATGAGCATATGAGATAAGTTGTTTACAAACAATTCCGAGATAAGTTCGCGAGGTCAGAAAGTATATTTTACGGAAATGCCACAAACACGAAAATGTTATCGAACTTAACTACAATTAGCTTAAGCAACGTGTGCAGGTTTCTAGAAGAGAGTACTGGTAGACATTTATATGAGAAAGAAAAGCATTAGGACAAAATTGAAAACCCAACACCTGAAATATATATATATATATATATATATATATATATATATATATATATATATATAGAGAGAGAGAGAGAGAGAGAGAGAATATTATCGGAGTTGCGGTTTTCCGGCAGGTAAGCACCTTGTCAATGTTTGCATCAATTGCAGCCACATCAGGGATATCAAGCAAAAATAAACATCTGAAATGCAAAAAAATCAACACGCAGGCAGCGGCTCTGTAGCACACGTGCCACGCCGACTCATTATTGGCCTGGATTAGTAAATGGAATTGAATCGCATGCAGCATACTTACTAAGCGCTGCGCTGTTGATGATTATCTGATCGCTTGATTCGTTGCCTCTCGTATAGCGACCCCATATGCCCACGCTGATGGCCTACCAGACCAGCGTGGTTGTGGCGCTCAGGACCGCACGTGCTACAGCACCGTGCACTAAATGTCGATGGGTTAAACTCTATTGGCCTCATCCGACGTTTTTCTTCCTTATGCTACAAAACTTTCTCGTTCACGTGCGCACTCACATTCTTGCTGTGGCTACGACCCACTGTCATTGCTTCACCACATCTAAAATCAACATTATTTCGTGACAAAATCGCCTTGACCATGTCCTGGTAAATTAGCTCCGGTTTTCCTACATTCCGCTTCTCTGCACTGAATTAACTATACAGAGATGCTTGGGCATTCGCCTCAAATCCATGCAGCTGATATGCCCCACCTATCTCAGCTGCCTCAGCAGGAGTACGCAGTCCACTGCATACATGCCACTTCTGCGCAGCACTTCCGTGTCACCAGCCCAGTCACCCCAGCCGATGTTCAGTATCCGACGCTGGCATTCTTGGTGAAAGCGCTCCATATTTCTGACGTCCTTTCGGTGCAACATCCACGTTTCGCTGTCACACAAGAGAGCCTACGGCACCATCAACCGGTACACCATCAGCTTCTTTCGAACAATAAGCTGGTGGTTGTTACACACACGTTTGTCCGGCTTTCTAAATGCAGCAACCGCTCTCGACACGCCGATAAGCAGCTCGCTCGTCAGCTGCAAGTCAGTAGTACTCTTTCCAGGTGTAAAAATATGAAAGTGGTTTCCAAAACGTCGGTAATAATCTGGATTTGCAGCAGGTCCACGGATTCCGTTCTTCCCGAAAGGTGTATTAAACATACAGTCTCGCTTATGTTGATAGTGAGACCGAACTGTGCTGCTGTCGAAGCAAGAGCCGAAGTCATGTGCTGCAACTCATCCACGCAGTGTGCAAACAATACTCAGTTGTCGGCAAACAGCAACATGTTGATGGTTATCTTACACACTAGGGTTCTCGTCTCGAAACGACAGATGTTCAGTAACCAACCACCAATACGTTGCACCACACGAACACCGTAATCCCAGGTGTTTAATGCACACGACATAAGTAAGCAGGTAAGAACGGCATAAGCAAATACTAAGTAGAGCAGAGGCTAAGACAGCCTTGCTTCACACCAGGAATAACATCAACATTATCCGAGATTCGTCCCCAGAGCCGCACCCTCGCCCGCGTACCACTATGCAAGCATTCGATTAGACTTACAAAATTACTCGGACAACCAAACCCAACATCAGCCGCGGTGCCTTACCGTTCACCCTGTCATATGTCTTGGTGAGTCTACCAACAACGAGTACAATGGCTGGTGTCAGTCTCGGCATTTCCCCTGCATTTGACGAGCCGCAATTACGATATCTATGGTGCTGCGACCCGGTCGGAATCCGCATTGCTCTTCCGCCAAGTGCGGTCCAAGGACCTTGGTGATGAGGCGGTTGAGCTGGAGTCGTGGGATCCCCTTCCCGACACAACTCAGCAAGCTGATGCCACGATAATATTTGGCGCATTGTTTGCTTCCTTTGCCAGTTTACAGTGGTAGTACAAGGGCATCCTTCAATTCCGCCGGCATTTCTTCTTCAACCCACACGCATTGCACCAAGTGGTGCCGCGGATGTATCGAACTCGGGTCCACCATCTTTCAACACTTCTTGCGGTATCCCTTCGAATTCGACGCACTTGCCGTTTCGCAGCTGAGCACATACCCTCTGGGTTTTCATGCAGTACTGGTATTTTGGCAAGACACAGCTGCATCTTTTGTTTCTGCAGCCCGTGCAACATGGTCCTGTCACTTTCTGAACGGTTGTTCGAGACGTAGTGGAAGTGCTTTCTCCAGATCTGCATTATATCAGCAGTCTGTGTGCATGCAGCACCTGAAGTAGCATCAAGGTGTGTCATTATCGACTGCAAATGGTCCACACACCTCCTTCAAAGAATCATATACGTGCTCATGTTAGCTGCGTTCAGCGCCGCATTCTATCTGCTTCTTCTCCGTCTACCAGATATTCTTGATGCGACGAAACTCTCGAGCCTGTCATCGTTGAGTTTTGCGAAGCCGACTCTCTCTCGGAGTCGTCAGCGTCCACCACATGTGCAGCGAACGCTACGACATTAATGCGCACTGTTGTCATCAAACCAATCGGGCCGCTTACAGTTTTCGCGCATGATCGTTTCCTCGACAACTGCCGAGCAGTACGATTATCCGAGTGCCGCAGCATATGGGTACATGCAATGAGGTGAAAGAAAGCAAAATCCAAAAACTAAGTTTGAAGCAATTAGACTAAGCTCTCCCGACATATTCACCACGGAATGCGAGATAACGCCGTGTGTGAGAGCGTTACCAGCCGAGCGTGCTGTTTCTCCTTGAGTCCCTATACCAGAAGGCAAGGGATCCTGATCACAGTCAGCTTTGATATTAGCGCCTTCATATTTAGGGCTAAAGTCGTTCGTTGTCCACCTTGCTTTCGCTTTTAGACAATTGCGCGCGCAACGAGGTACAGTGAGTTAAGCGCTGGGCTGGTATGCGATGCTCGTGCTTAATCCACCGTGGTTTATGCAATGAAATCATGCCGATCACGGGTCGGTAGAGTCCGTCTGATTTGTAAATCACTCGACGAACATCCTTACTAGTGTGATGTTCCCATCGTACACCGATAATGCTTCGAAGACATCGATGATCAAAACTGATATCCTTTGGACATATTTTGCGTGCATAGACGAAGTATCGCAAACATACAGCAGGATTGCTCTCACCTTAGCATTACAGACTCAGCCTTTCAAACATAGGCTGAAGTCACCTCGACGCCAGAGATGGTGAAGATGAGCAATATCAACCCATGCCTTAGAGACCTCATCCGTTTTACCGTTAGCATTGAGTCAGCTTCCGCTACAAACAAAGTTACCCACCACTTCCTAAGGATAACCAGAAATGGTGGGAGAAGGGCAGATCCTATCCAGTCCTACAGGAAGCTCTTGCATTTTGATGGGGAGAATAACATGCCAAACTGGGAGACCGATACCTCCCAACTACCCAGTACATTTTGACGGCCGACGAGGAATCGCAAATTACGGCGATATCGTCTGCTTACTCCAAGTCACGGAGTCGGTCACTTGAAAACAGGGGTTTAAAACATTCTTCAGGTTATCATCCATAGAGAAAGAGGCAAAAGTCCACCGTACACTCGCACTCAGCCTGAGACTTGAAGAATGTTGACGTACTCCTAGGACACTCCTCAACAAACCATTCCAAAGAGCGACTACGTCATCTGAGTCAAACTCGCCTCGTATGCTTATGAAGACAGGGCTCGTTGGCCGATCGAACATTTGACGATGTGGGTCTGGCGAATCATAAGGATTTTGATCGATACAGTTCCGACCGGAACAGAACCTAGTTTGCTGTTCGCGTATATTCTGTTCGCAAACCACGCTGCGCTTCCTTAAAAGCAAGTTGGCGAGCACTTTTGGCGCAACACAAGTATGACTAATCTCTCAATGATTGATACAGTCTGTACTTGTACTTCTTTTGAAGCCGGGAGCAATATCATCTAGGGTCCAATCGAATGGAATCGCTTCAGTGATCTAGCTCTCTTGAAGGGAGTTAATTCCTGTACAAGCAATGAGCCTCCGTCTTTGAAAAAAGAGGAGCGAGATCGTCGGTGCCAGGGGTTTTGTGGCACTTCGGGAAGCGAAGCTCACAAGCGGTCTCAGCCTCAAACGGTGGTGAAGGATCTACACACCAGGGAGCACTGCGGATTCCCAACTGAGAACTCATTGCTGTTGCAT